AAATATTATTGAAGATCCGTTTTTATGTTGTCAGAAGCTGCACGGAAATAATTTTTTTTTTAATTTTTACCTTTTATTGTTTAACAAATTGTTATAAACTAATGCGTTGTTCATAAGATGATTGAAAATTTTTTTATAAAATTTCAATCTCTGATACAAATAATGTTTTTTAAAAGAAAAATTATTCCTTAGACAATTTTTTGGAGTTTATTGGAGCTTACACATAATTTTTTTATTTATATCTATCGATATTAATTTGCGATTTAAAAATATTAACAAGTTGATAGAGTTCGCTATTTTGACAAATTAATTGCATAATTTATGAAAATAAATGTATCATCTATGCTTCGAGTAATATCATAGTTAATTCCATTTACCATTATTTACTAATCTATATATTTGATATAATCGTTTGCAAGGAGTAAACTCCAGTCATGCGTCGGAGCTGACACATACGATTTTTTTTCTTTAATATACGGAGATCTATTGTAACGGGTTGATACCGTTCAATTGGCCCCTTCATTAATAAAAATGAACAATAAATTAAACAAAATTTAAAGCTAATATTAATGAACAAAAGGGCGCCACCAGGATTTTTAATCACGGTTCCTGGAACCGGTTCCAGAGCCGAGAGCTTATCTTACAGGGAGAGAGAGTGGAGGAAGGTGCTATAAAATAAATAAATTTTTAATTAACAATATGGTCTATATTTATTAATGACAAAATTAACAAGTGATCACGCACACACTCACACTATAATTCCTTGACAATATTTTCGTTCTTACTAACTTTTTACAGTTAGAGTTACTCTGCACAGAGACTGTCGTATGCAGAAGTCGTCCGGCCTGATGAGCGGCTAACCCAAAACTTAAAACAATACCAACGAGAACCACCTCGCACAGAGACTCTCGTATGCGAAGGATCCCCGTTAACAACCCACGACTTTACACCTTAACTAAATAATCAACGAAACACCTCGCACAGAGACTGTCGTATACGAAGGAACGCAGATATTACGCTCACACACTCATACCCCTTAACTAATTAGCCAACGAAACACCTCACACAGAGACTGTCGTATGCGAGAGGACCGATTCTTCAGATTTAAACCGATTCTTCAGATATTCAAAATTGATGATATTTAACCGAGTAAATTATTTTTATTAATAAAATTCTCACGAAAATTTACACCACAAGGTCTCTGAGTGTGTCTCGGGTATAGGTCCCCTTGAGATCCACTCAGCGGCAACTAACGAATCAAAATTAATTATTGAATTATTTCGAATTAAATAATTAATGAACAATTAATCAGAGGAGAAGTAAACCGAGTATAAACCCCGCGGTACACTTTTAGCCCACAGAGTAATTATTGATACCTTGTTGAATATACGATGATCTAACTCACTACTGGAGATTGAAGTCCTAGATGTTGTTGGCTTTTGTCGATAGGTAACTACTCCGGGGATCGGTCCTTCTTGATTTCTGTGGCACTCCGTCTGGCGGTTACACTACTTCTCCCTGTCACAATGCATGGCTCACCTATAATAACCCCAAACTACCCCCTCCTACTCTCTCTTTAGGCCCGAAGATCGAGACGTGCCAGTGCTGCGTCGAACAATTATCGATATCTGGCGACTTATCGATTCAGGGTAATTTTACCCTGTTACACTATATCCTCACGTACATGTACATGTATTTAATTTTATATACGTTAATTAAAAATAAAATCACAGGTTATACTGAGCATAAGATATATGGAGATCATAATAAATCTAAGTCAATACACACGCATAAGGATTTTGATTTTTTTATGTCTTCATATATCTACTAGATCAAAAAAAATTTTTATGGGTTGTTGAAAACTTTTGTTATTTTTTAGTGCTGCCGATGATGGATCATCATACTTATACATTCATCGTCTTTCTTATCTTTGGATAACCCCGCTTGGAATGAACATGACAATAATAGTCGGATATTTAGCAAGCCTTGTAGTACAGAAACTTTGTAATTTACCATCTTCAGGTTCTGATCCTCATCTTTTTACGCCTTTTGTGGCGAATAGAATAAAACGACGTCATAAAAAAGATGAACAAATGAAAAACAGCCAAATTTTCATGTTAAGTTCACGAAGTCTCGACTGGAAATAATAAAAAGAGAACAAAGAGTGTTACAAGACGTCCGGTTGGAACGAAGTTTCGTTTGCTATGTACGAAGTATCAAATAACACAGTCTATAAAATAAATTACGACCGTTTGAGCATAATAAGCACAAAAAATAAAAAGAATTTCATCGCATGGTAACCATCGCTATATTAATGGTTGCCATGATAACTGTGGCCATAGTAAACGTTACTGAGAAGTGTTATGATGCTTAAAATCTTAAACTTCTTTAAGTCTAATTTTTACTTACAGACGTACGGTGAGGAACTTCATTGAAAAAAAATTTTTAATTCACTGATTATTATTATTCTAATGAAATTTGCTAAGTTATAGGTGAAATTGTATTTTATTTAAATAAACTAATACTCCATATACTCAACGTTTTTACATTATTTTTGTTGGTTTCTAGTTCCGCGATTCTGTTAGAATTAAGTAACTCTCAATTATAGAACAATATGTTCCTAAGCAATTTGTCTCTACAAGCGTTCTTTAGAGACTAGCCTTGACCTATGTTTCGACTCGAAGGACTTGCGATGTGCTTTCCTTATTTTTAACATCACCTTTCCATTGCTTTTAAATAGATTGTCCTGAAGTTGTTATTGATTTAACAACTTAATAAGTTATAAAAACATGAAAGTTTAAATAATTTCAAATGATTCTAGACAAATAATACACTATCTCACATATGGTAAGAAAAATTATGATATACAGCTATATAGTATAGTATTAGCTGTTACCCGCCCGCTCCGCTGAGTGCTTTATAGAATTGTATTTTTAGATCTAGACTTGAAATTTAATTGTAGTACTGTTTTGACTTGCACAGATTCCAAATTCCATCAAATTGGTCTGTATCTTTGATCCATGTGATTATTCTAGCTAAAATTCATTGTAACTTTCAATGTGCAATTACTATAACATTCCCGTGGCTTTCTTCCATAAATGAATATTAATTGACACGATAGAAAAAATTTGAAATGAGCATTGATAGTTTTAGTAAAAGTAATTGCAGGTCTCATAAGTGAAGTTGAAATCCGCCTAGCTTAAATTGCGACGAATTTCGCCGTTAATTAAAATTTCCTCCGTAACATCAATTATACATAGAAAATTGTTTTTGTAACGGTAGGTTCCTGCTACTATGTCGCCCCTTATTTTAATTTTTAAATTTAAGGGCACCACTGGAATTTTTATCACGGTGTCCAGAACCGGTCCAAGCAATGAAAAATATCTAAGGGTTGAGAGAAATTATAGTTAGGTTAACACAAATAATAACAATAAATTTTAAGTTAAACTCCAAAGTTATTCAACTAACTTTTACAATAGCCTTGAATATTTTCTCACACACACACACTCTTATAAAATATCAAAAGTCTTAATCCTAACAGTACCCTCTGAGGGAGCGTCTCTACTGTAGTTTCTATAAAAATTACCTAATCCTAACAGCACCCTCATATGAAGCGTCTATGCTGTAGTTACTAACTAAATCGCGCTGTCCACCGGACCCTCACGCTCTATAACTCTAGATCTGACCTTGGGTGGTCGCCCGGACCCCTGCCCAAAGTTCAAACCGTCCTTAGCCCTTTCGCTGTCACCCGGCCCTTCACTACGGGACTAAGGAACCTGAAATCAACTAGGACAGAGGAGGATACCATGAAACTAGTCGACAACCCGCTAAGTCTAACCTCCTCGACAGCCCGTGAACGAGGCGTATATAATGTAAGTTTATTTCCACACACACACACACACACACACACACACACACACACACACACACACACACACACACACTATTTAATAAAACAATTTATCCAATTAACACACTATCTCTAATAACAATATTAAAATAACTCATTTAATATTAATCGACAATATTCCATAATACTCGCGTTTTACAATATTCCTTCCTGGGAATTAAACTCAAATTATCCCGGTTCTTAATCTTGACTTCGATAAATTATTAAATTTAAATTCTGATTTCATTTTATTATTATTAATTAATTTATCACAGAAAATTTTTTTGAAACCAAAAATTTTAGATTTATTTTAATTGAATTTAATCTGCCTGATTACTCGGCTTAGCGTCCATTATGAATTCCAAAGGGGATTTGAGAAATGAATATTAACTTGGCTACATTTCACAAGGTCAAAATTTTACTGTAAATTTTCTCAATAATTATTTACTGGAATTTGGACAAATTTATTTATCGAAGTCTTGAACAATTTAATTAATACTAAATTTTACTTTTAATAATTTTATAATTTTAATTTACTAATTTAATTTATTTTAAGATTCGAAGATTGATAAATTTCAATTTTAACTTTCAGAATTATTTTACAGATTTAATTTTAATTATAAATTTCAATTTTCACTTTTAGAATTATTTTAGTACTGAGATTAAATTTAGTTATTAATTTAACTTTAACTTAATTAATATTTTGTGTTAATTTTAATTTTATTTTAACATTTATTTAACGGATTTTACTTTTGCACTTAACCACTAATTTGATTTTAAATCAATTCTAATTTTATAATTTTTATTTTAATTTTAACTTAAATTATTTCTTATTTTAATTTAATATTTTTAACCTCGTTTAATTTTAATTTTCTCAGTCTTCGTTCACACGTTGAACTGACAACACGTATCGCTCTACGAGTATCGTATAGTGTAGTAATAGTCTTGTGTGCGCAGCTAATCAGTGTTGTTTCATTTGTGTAAATTGTTCATTAAAAATAAAATAGTTAACACCAAAAGTTAAATACTGAGGTGGTGCAAATCTTCGCCCACCGCTGGTCTTCTCCGCTTTAAAGTTAGTACTCTCTGACTACAGAGAGTGTCCTTCAAAATGACGACTCTCAACAGCGGTTACGCTAACGCGACCAAAAGTGAATTCTTCCCTACTAAAGACAATGCCATCCTGATTGACTCAGTAACAGATTTCTCAGTTAAAGACTATATTAAAGCCATTGCACAAAAAACAGCTCCTGAAAATATCAGATTCGCATCAAAAATCTCTAACAGTCGTGTGTGTATTTATTTTGCAACGAAGGAATTAGTACAAGAATTTGTTGAGACGCACAAAACGATTACGATCGAATCACAGACATTAAATATTCGCGCACTGATAAACAAAAATAAACGTATTATACTATCAAACGTGCCTCCGATAATCCCTCACAGCTACATTGCTGACCAATTACTCAAACTAAACATTGAAATTACTTCTTCTTTCTCTTTCCTTCGTGTCGGGCTCAACGAACCTCGCTTTTCACACATTGTGAGTTTTCGCAGGCAAGTTTACATTAAAGCCGACGACGTCATCAAGATACCAGAAATATTACAAATCCACTTCGAGGACAACAGCTACAATATCTACCCAACCACTGACTCACCGATATGCTTTGATTATCACAATGAAGGTCATTTGGCAAAAAATTGCCCCTCCACCAAACTCTCACCAGGAAACCCTGAAATAAGCACCGAACAACACCACAAGCAAGCTCCGAACCCCATCGGACAACAAACAAATAGCTCTCCCGAAACATCCCCCAATAACACACCACCCACAAGTAACAAAATCTCGACACTCTCGAATACTCCAAGCGCTAAAAGACCGCTCAAACACTCCGAACCCTCTACACAATCGTGTCACACGAGTTTTATTCTTGTGTGCGTCGCTCCCTGCGCCTAGTGTTGGCAACAGATCCACACTCGGTGTCCCATAATTTTAATATTTTTGTGTGAATTTATATACTGCATATTCTTTATTATTATTATATTTGAAAGGTTGTATATTATGATTATTAGTAATTTAAGAATTAATTTTACATTTGTTTCAGATATTTACAATGAATTATTTGTAATTCATTATTATCATTATTATTATTATTATATGTATCGCCGTAAATCATAGTTATAGTACCTGGTTATTATCGTAGCCTTTACTCGCACGGGTGAAGTCCTGTATTATCGATCGCGAGCTAAAGGTTTATTAAATTTGGGGAAAATGGCTAAAGAGGCCCTCGTGGTCGAACACGAGGCCTCGAACGTTTTTACGGTGACGTCGATCGGGAGACACGCGGCAACCCGCAGAGTGTAAGAGTGTGGATCTGGCACCTTTGATCGAGTTCCCTTTTTTGGTGAGTACTCACAAGTTGAGCCATTTTATTAACCACGCACCGTGCTGTCTCCCGGCGAACAGATTAGTATTTGAAGCCGGTATTAATTATTCGAGCCAGCCAGTATTATTTATTTATTTTGTTTTGTCGAGATAACCCGACTGGGGATTTCGGGTATATCTCACTTCAATAATATTTGGATACAATTTCTAATTTATAACCAGCGTCGTCGAATTTAATAATATACTCAGGATTTATATTAATTATCAATAATTGTACGCAACAAATTAATTATTATTGTTATTTTATATAGTTCACCCGGCAAAGGAATTCGGCTCTGAACTTAGCTTAATTATTTTGTGTTTTGAATAAATAGCTTATTTTTTTATATATACTGCGACTGATTATTAAGAATTTGCTTTTATAAATTTCTTTCTCCTTTCTTTCCTGATATTTGTACGCTCGTTATCTATCCGCTTGAATACCTGTGGATCGGCCTTGAAAATAAAGGGTTTGTTGTTTCCCTAAGGAAAAGAACAACTGGCGTTCAAGAATATCGTGCACTAACCCAGCCTGAGGAAGAGCTGCTGATTGCTTGGGAGGCGAAGAATTCCCTCCCAAGTCCTTTTTTTGTTTGTTTAGTTTTGTATTGGGCGACCTGGACAAAATTACATATCCACTGACCGCTCCACTGTCAGCTGGAGTGTAATTTTTGTTACAATCGGTTTCTTCTAAGTCAAACACGATTAAAACAGTTAACCCGAGTAAGATACTTCCTAAAAAGAAAAAAGATGAGGGATTCGCTAAACCCAGTGACCCTCTAAAAATTCCACCTAAAGTCCTCAATGAAATGTTAAATAACCCTACTAATTACCCATGCAGTTACAGCCAACTACAAAACCTCTATGACAGAACTAAAGGTCAAAGACAAGTCAAGAACATTGTAGACGAATTTAAATTAGACCCTCTACAAATAGTAAACATGCTTTCAGGCCTCTACAAGCTTCTATCATCTCGGGGAATGAAAACAAATTTCACGAAGCTCAGAAAAAAAATTATAGAGGAATATAATATTGAATACGACATGTCTATCAGCTCAGAAGCGGAGAAATCGAAAGCCCAGGGCATGTCTGAAGACGATACCTCTGATCTGGAACTTGATACATAACCTCAAACCCTGTAACATATCATTATGCATATTGTTCAATGGAATCTTGATGGCTTTTCAGCAAAATACGAATACCTGAAACTCCTAATAGAAAAATACAATCCAGATATTATTTTTTTACAAGAAACTAACTTTAAAAACAACTACTTCACGCAACTGAGAGGATACAAATGCTTCAATAGAAATAGAACCAACACTGATCACGCTAGTGGCGGCGTAGGCACGTATGTAAAATCAAACATACACGCTGTAGAAACTCAGATCCAAAACAACAATATAGAACTAATTGCAGTCACCATTCGATGCCCTCGAACCATCACCCTATGTAACATTTACATCCCTAATAGCTATAAACTCTTCCCTCAGGACCTGTACAACATCACCGATCAACTAACTTCTCCAGCTATCTTTATGGGTGATTTCAACAGTCATAACCCAATATGGGGTTCATCAAAAATAGACTCCCACAGAGGGAAATTAATTGAAGTCTGGGCAGACAACAGTAACTTAAATCTACTCAACTCCAGAACTCCGACCCATTACTGCATATCAACTGGCTCACTAAGCAATATTGACCTGTCATTCTCTAGCCCTAGTCTAACAGATGAAATCTCATGGTATGTTGACGATGATCCATACGACAGTGATCATTTCCCGATCCATATACATCTGGGACCAGACAATATCCATGAAGTAACTTCGAGTGAACCTAAATAGATCTTTCATAAAGCCAATTGGTCAAAATTTACAATAATTTCAGAAGATAACATAAAATCACTTCAACCACCTGATAACTCTGACATCGATATCAATACCCTGGTAAATAACTTTGTACAAGCTATCATATCAGCAGCCGACGAGAGCATACCTAAATCCTCTCTGAACCCTAAAAAAAAATCATACGAATGGTGTTCTGAAAAGGCAAAAAACGCCATTACCGAAAAACAACATGCATACAACAAACTACAAAAAAATAAAGACGACCCAGACCTCAAAACAGAATTTAAAAGACTCCGAGCCATAGCTACAAGAGAACTTAAAGAGTCACGAAGATCCTCGTGGCAGCACTTTGTGTCAACTATCAACAACCGTACACCAAATAGTCAAATATGGAAGAAAATTAAATGTATTGATAAATCTCGAGCTTTTCACACCACACCTACTCTCTTCGACTCTAACAACAAAGTATACACATAACCCGAGGATAAAGCCAAACTTCTCGCCAACTCATTCTCATTTAACTCCAGTGATGACAACTTCACTGAATCTTTCCTTCGATTTAAAAAGTCCAGCGAGTCCGATCTTCTACCAGCCGCCCGTATATGCTCAACCCAAGACAAATAAACAACCATTCTGATTATCTATCACAAATTAACAATTCTTTAACTCTGACCGAGCTGGAGGAAGTCCTGTCGTCGTGTAAAAACTCAAACCCCGGACCAGACAACCTACCTGTAGTCATGATTAAACACCTGTCCCTACAGAGCAAACAATATTTGCTGAACTTGTACAATAAAATATGGACTATGAACTTGTTCCCCGACATCTGGAAAATCGCCACAGTTATGCCTATACTCAAATCAGGCAAAGACCACTCTAATCCAAACAATTACCGGCCTATATCCTTAAAATGCAACCTAGGCAAAATCCTGGAGAAAATCATAAATAAAGGACTCACCTGGACACTGGAGGAAGCAAAATGATTCTCCCCAGCCCAAAATGGCTTTCGCAAATTTCACTCGACCTTCCACTCTCTAGTCCAATTCAACGAATACATAAGCGATGCCCTGATCAATCACCTCCAAATAGTGGCGGTGACATTAGACATTCAAAAGGCCTACGACATGGTATGGAGACACCACATAATAACAATTCTGACCCGAATTGGCTTCAAAGGTAAGATCTTAGAATATATTCAGAACTTTTTGAAGGACCGATTCATCCAAGTTAAAATTAATAACGTGTTATCTCTAAAGAAAAAACTTGCCAATGGAGTGCCTCAAGGATCTGTTCTCAGTGTTACACTATTCTTAATTGCCATAAACGATATTATTAATTGCATTCCAGCCCCTGTCAAGGGACTCTTATACGCAGATGACTTAATGATCTACTGCTCAGGTACTCAAGTGGATAACTGCTGCGAGCTCCTCCAAGATGCATTAAACCAGATATCTCAATGGTGCAATTACTCTGGATTTCGAATGGCTGAGAACAAAACCCAATGTATGGTCTTCTCCAATAAGAAGAAACAGACGACCCACCCTAGGCTGACACTGAACAACGTTCCTCTCAGAGAAACAACATGCCTCAAAATTCTTGGGATGTACTTCGACAGTAAACTCAGATGGAATATACATATTGACCACTTGAAACATAAATGTCATCAGAAACTTGCTATCATACGATCTCTCGCATCAAAAAACTGGGGAGCTGATAAAACACCCTTCTAAATGTCTACAAAGCACTTATCAGATCCACGCTCGACTATGGAGCTATCTTATACAACTCCGCTTCCAACACTCAAAAAAAGAAACTTGATTCAATTCAAACTTCAGCCCTCCGATTGGCCATCGGTGCTTTCCGTTCAAGTCCGAGAACCAGCATACTCGCCGCAGCTAATGAACCACCACTAAGTCTACGACGAACACAGTTATGCTTAAACTTCAAACCAGCCTCCACCAACTTACTTCTAAGCCATTCAAAGCAACTTAATAACAAGAATTCCTACATCTCGTCAGTAAATAAATACATATCTAACTCCAAACTCGAAAACATCACTTGTCAACCTTCCCATATTAATCCTATACCCCCATGGACACCAAGACATAATAACTTTGACCTATCCATCAGAACTGAATCCGGCGATAAAAATAACACATCCACAACAGTATGCAACCAACTTTTCTCTGAAATGATCAGCAAATATCCAACTCACACAAAAATCTACACAGATGGGGCCGTTCTCAATAATCTCCGCGGGTGTGCAATATGCTCCAACGAGACAACATTAAAATTTAAACTCCCACCAGAATACTCTGTATTCTTATGTGAACTAACAGCTATCTCATTAAGCCTAGATGTAATAAAGAATAATCAACTTAAGCAAGCTATAATATGTACTGACTCACTATCATCGATCCAGAGCCTAATGAACCCATATAGTGATATCTTAGCGGTACAAGAGTGCCAGCAAAAACTGTTCAATCTCTCAAATATGTGTGACATTGTAATTGCGTGGATTCCAGCTCACTCAGGGATTCGAGGTAATGAACTGGCCGACGAGCAAGCCAAACTAGCCCTCACAAGTGGAACTGACCTCACTAATCTCCCTGTCACGATCAGCGACTATAAAAGTAAAGTAAAAAGACATACCAACGCCCAATGGAACAACTTATGGTCATCTGCAAAACCCACTCACCTACACGAGATAAGAGATAACATCTGGGAAACCCCCCCCCCCCCGAATTTAACTCAAGATCAGAACAATGTATATGTACACGTCTTAGAATAGGCCACACACAATTTTCCCACGGACATCTAATGAACAGTTCCAACCCTGCCAACTGCCCTGGATGCAACGAAGTCATATCAGTAAAACACCTCATCACCTGCCCAAGCTTGAACCAACAGAGAAGAGCACTACAACTTCCTAACGAGATGGACGAAATCCTCAACAACAAAAATAAAATAAAACGATTTGTTGACATGATTAACAAAATGAAATTAAAAATATAATTTGTATATAAAGTATCTATGAACTTACAGTCCTTATAATGATCTACTTATTTCATCGAAATTATATTCTGTAATGGTATTCTAAAATTATATTCTAAATTGTATTCTTATCCGTCGCCTAGGACCAAATGGTTAAAGCGACGTTAAATAAATAATTTTAAAAAAAAATTTTAATTTTAACTTATTTTAAATTTCGGAATTTTCCTCAGTCTTAAATTTTAATTAAATTATTCCTAACCCCGATTTTATAAATTCAGATATTAAATAAATTCAATCATATATTAATAAATCTAATGATTGGAAGATGGAACCTGGCTGGTGCCTGGAATTCCCTTAAGCAACGCAAAAATTTCTATAGAGGTTAATTATCAGTACCTGAGATTGTTAAAGTTTCCCTAGCGACTCTCGTAGCTTTATGCACGTATTCAGGTCCCGGTGTCTGCAGTAACAATCTCCGCTGCTCGTTGACTGATCAAATTTTATTCGCGTTGCTTCTCAGGAAATTTTTCAGCGATATTATTCATCTGTAACCACAGTACTGTTAGAGTAATTATCTAATTTAATTAAGCTGGCTAAATGCCTAGCAAAATAGATATAAATTATTAAAGGTGAATAATCGCTTCGTTCCACAAAAAGGTTCGAAGGAACAAAGATGGAAGGAACTGAGACTGTTGAATTGCGATGTAGCTTTGTCTGGCTCCGGCTTCACAATGTCTTCCTTCGGCGCGAAAAACTTCACTCTACCTCCATGCGGAATTCTCCCCACCCTCGGACACTTACTGTCTAGGCCCCGGAACTTATGTTAATTTATTTCTACTGCGCGAGCATCGTAGACCACAGTGCCCGTGATCTGTCGATAACTAACCGCGGCTAGGGCGAGGACCTTCAATGGGTAATGAAGGAGCCCCGTGACAACGTGTTGATTTTAGTTGAACGTTTCGTCCTTTTATTAGGACTTCCTCAGCAACTACAAATAAACGTAAAAATTATAACCTTTGTAAACAACAATATATGTCAAAAAAATTTTTTTTTATAGTACAATCATAACTTAATCATACTAGTTCACAGTTTAAAATATATTATTGTTGAAACATATAAATTATTGGTACGCATATTATGAAATTATCAAAAATTTTTATATAACAATTTAACTTTCTACCAATTGTCACTGAATAGAAAAGTACATCCACAATGACATCAGCTGTAATACTAACCACCCAGTTAGTGCGTAATGGCTATGCTATAGCACTACCACCGCGCCATCTAAGATATCTAATTACTATTTGTTATTCAAATTCTAGCTGTCATTTTTAAAATGTCATTATAAATGCTACTTAATTTATTAGTATCTGTTCTTAAGTTAATCGTATTATTTCTTTTCATATGAATCATTTCACTCATATTTTTTTTAAACTAATTATCCTCAATGTCCAAAATAGTTGCCATGTCAAATTTGAAATTGTGTCCAGTGCTAAAATGATGCTCAGCTAACGCAGTAGAATTTGTTTTCAGTATATTAATCGGTTTACAATCATATCTATGTTGATCCAGTCTTTACTTTAGTTTTTGTTTAGTTTGTCCTATGTAGAATTTTCCACACTCACACGGTAATTTGTAAATTACTTGAGACTGTTCCCATTTATCAACTTTATCTTTTAACCTCGTATAGATGGAATTTAATTTTACTAAATTATAAAACACAAGTTTTATATTTGTTTTATTGAAGCATTTGTTAATTTGATTTGATACTGAGTTGATAAAGGGGAAATCTAAGAAACTTTTTAATTTTTAGTCTGTAATCCTGTATATTTTTATCTCTCTTATAATTATTAAATATCTTGTGAATTAGGCCAGGCGGATAGTTATTATTTTTTAGCAATTTTTCTACCTTGCCCAAATTTTCTGTGTGAAACTGTTCGCTGCTCAACGCCAAGGATCTAAACACGAATCCTTTGATGATGCTAATTTTTTGGCTTAGAGGATGGTAAGAGTAGTAATTGAGACATCTCCCCGAGCTAGTAGGTTTGACATACCAACTGGTTAAGATCGAGCCATCATCCTTCCGTATGACCATCACATCTAAGAAGGGCAATTGATTATTCTTTTCCATTTCCATGGTAAACTGAATCTTCTTGTTGATGCTATTAAAGATGTCCAACACTGTGTTCACTTTATCCTTTGGGATTGCCGTGATCGTATCATCAACATACACCGTCAGTACAGGCACTGGAAATGGCAGAATTTCTATTATTCTCGTCAATATGTGATTCATCACTATGTTTGCTGATATGGGGCTTGATGGATTGCCCATACTTGAGCCATCAAGTTGTTGATGAAATGACCCATTAAGCTGGAAGTAGCTCGAATCAAAGCAAAATTGTATTAGCTCCAACAGAATGTTTTTCGGAATTTTTGTTAATCTTGAGAGATCGTGCCAGTCATCAATAATTATATCCCGTACTAGATCTTTTGGTATGTTGGTAAATAACGAGACCACATCCAGGGATGCTAAGATATAATCATCTGGTATTTTAATTTTATTAATGAACTTCACAAACTCAAAAGAGTTTTTTGTAGAGAATACAAATCTTGCTGATAACGATGTCATCAATACATGATGTAAAAACTTTGCTAGTTTGTAACACGGAGATCGAATAGAGCTAACCACTGGTCTCATAACACAACCAAGTTTGTGTGTTTTTCTTAGCCCGTACAGTTTCGGAGAAGCAGCATTATAGCTTTTGAAATCTTTCTCTATATCTTCTGAGATGACGAAATTAGTTTTTAATTTTGTAATTAGGTGTTACGTTCCCAAAAATACGTTAAATAAATTCTTTGAGAATAAAATAATTTAATTCCAGGTTTTGACACTTTGGGTAGTCGATCGACCCCCGGTGTGTCGTCACAGATGAGCTTACTTGTTTTATTTTAATTTATTTTGAACTTACCATTATGGGCCCCATAAGTCAGCCCAAATAACCCCCTGGTTTTCTTACCACTTAGCTTCGAAGGGCGGGTAGATGTCGTAGCCCGTCTTTTGGAAGTATTCCTCGGAATAATACTCGTATCGGGGGTCTTCGATCGGGATGACACCTCCTGGAGGGTGAACCTCGACAGGGACCAACTTCCAGGCCCTGGTGATGTCCGTCCAATAAGCCGGGCGGTTATTGCCGGCGAAGATCGACCGACCTTGTGAACCCTGGTACGGCGGTGATTTGGGCGAGTCTTCCTCGGTGGTTCGTACTACTCTCACCCGCGGTTCAATTAATATTTCGTCATCGATTATGTGTAATACCGGTTTCGTAGCCCGCACTACTTCCACTCACGGCTCGTCGATTATCGGTAACGACAAATGAAACGGCTGGGCCAAGAGACGGCGACGTTTTTGTATTGATTTACCGGATCGTCGTGATCGTTTTCTTCGAGGCATGAAGCAAAGGACGTTGGTGTCAGTGAAGAGATTAGAACCTGGTAGAACGCCAATAAAGCGTTCATCCAGCAGGAGGGTTAGACTGGAAAAGACGCTGACTAGCGCTTCTACCGAAGGATTTCTTTATATGAGGTAGAGCAACCGTGAGGTGCTCAGTCCCATAATAAGTGTAATGGGCTATATGTTCGGTATAGTTGGTTTATTTGATAATAGGATCTGGAGAGGTTCAAGCCTGAGGATAGAGCTCTCTGCACTACAGAGTCTCGAGATCTACTAACTTGAATGAGCTCCAGATAAATTTTTATAAACAGTATTTCAGCCATGTTTGCAGCTCAGTACTTTTTTTAAATCAGGGAAGCACAGATCGTTCTAGTTCACAACGTCGAACTTGAACGTCGTGATAAAGATTTTGAAGTTGTTGACGAATGAATTTCTCGATATATATAAACTTGCTGTTTATATATGCGAAAATATCCATGTCCTCGGTTTTGATAGTTTCAACTGAGAGGGCATGACCTTGATTTTTGACGACAATAATGAGCAATTTCGGGTGTTCGGTCTTGATTACCGTATGCCCACATACTTTCATAAAACCTCGCTGTACGAGGGCAAAAGCAATGTCCTCGGTAGTAAGTGAGTATACTTCTGGTGATCCATCTTGACCGATTATTTTCGTGGCAGGACCGTGGTATAACTGCGCGTATTTCATTAAGCACGAGTTTTTCGGAACTTCACTTCAAAACGCGGACATATCATCACTGGTAATACAAGTTAGTTTTTCCGCGTTACACCTTGTTCCCGACCGCAATAAAATCTCATTTGTCTTTGTATTAAGCGCGGTTTCGTATTCACTTAACGTAATTTCGAATGTAGCGTCCACTACCACTCCCGACCACGTACCGTATTCGTCGGAAAAGGTTCCTTTTTCACAATCTCCTCCCACGCTTTGACTATCGGCTAATATAGCTACACGATGACTTGTACTGTCCATGTGTAGGTCGTAAAACGGAACTCGATCGAATAGTCAGACCGAACCGGTCTCATGCATTTTTTTACATTTGTTATAATCTAAACTTAGATAGTATTCTCTACGTCCGTAGAGGACTGAGGATGTATGGGAATGCATTCCATAATGTTGGATATTTTGATTGATCAAAATTTTGCACTCTATAACGTGCACTTGAATTATTTCCGCGGGCTGCAAAAGATAAATATTAACCGTTTCCGTTTGAGGCGGGGTATTAGCTATTTTGCATTCCCCTACATTCAGTAATGATAGAGTTGACGTATTCATAGAGGATCTGCCGCAGTCGTATCCTACCAGTCCTTGAGAAAGGGGGAGGGACACCAACAGTATAATTGCTCCGAGGCCGAAAGCCATCTGAAATTATATTCGGGAAATTCTTAATTTATTTATGTGTACGAATCTTGAGATTCCGTCTACATCTGTTTCCGCGGTTTCATTTTGCCCTATACCGATTAGCTCGTGAGGGCCAGTATACTGCGGGTCACCCTTACCCTTTCTTGGCTCTAACAGTAGGAAAACTCTTGTTCCCGGTCTAAGCCTTTGCGGATTTATTTTTTTTGTCGTAATAAAATTTTGATCTTTCTTTAGCTCCACATAGGTTCGCATTGGCAGCTATTTCTGTTTGTCGAATGCGATTAAATAATTGCTCAAGGTATTCTGTATAAGTTGGATTAGTTTCCTCGACTGCTTGGAATTGAGAAGGGAGATGAGGTAACTTCCCGAAAACTAATTGGTACGGAGTATAACCTGTGCCCTCATGTTCGCTAACATTATACGAAAATGAGGCTAAGTCCAGGTACTCGTCCCAGTCTTCCTCCTCAGTTGTGCATTGCTTTATATATTCCTGTAAGACATGGTGCGATCTTTCGACCGACCCATTACTTTGCGGACTATATGCAGTCGTTTGGTATTGTTTTATTTTATATTTCCTAGCAATATTTTTAAGTAGGCTTGAAAGGAAATTTGTTCCCTGATCAGTAAGCATGGCTTTAGGTGGACCGAAGTAGCAAAACCATTTGTTTATCAGGGCCCTTGCTACATCGACCGCCGTTGCTTGTTCTAATGCTATTGCCATAGAGAGTTTGGTTAATAAATCCTGAATTGTTAAAATATATTTCATGCCCGACGCAGACGTGTGCGTAGGGTACATAATATCAAGACCAATTTTGTCGAATCCCGCATCCGGGGTATCTGTGAGCACCATTGGTTGTTTATTTTTGACTCGAACTAGCTTTTTCAGCTGACAATCCAGACATTTTTGAATATACTCCATAACGTCTTTTTTTATATTAGGCCAGAAAAAATTTTGCCTGATTCTTTTGTAGGTTTTGGTCATACCTTTGTGACCACCTACAGCGGAACCATGGTATTCCTTTAAAATCTGAGGTCTTTCCTCGTCGTTTGGAATACGAACTAAATTAAGGCAAATAGCAATTTTTACTTCTGTGTCAGAAAAAATTTCAATTAACCTGCGCTGGATTGTCAACCAATTAACGTCGTCGATCTTGTCTGTTTTTGCAATACTAAATGATTCTAGACCTAATTCTATCACATTTGTACAAACATTATTTAGAGTGTCACAGATGTCATCCACGGATACGAGATCCAACGCCCTGTACTTGGGTACTGCTAAGATACAGTGCCTTTTTTTTCTTTTATATGGAATTACTGTAGATTTAAGGTAATTAACGCGTAAGTCTTCGGGAATTTGCAACATCCCGGAAAGTTCGCGGCTACCTTCATCGTAGGGATCACCTTTAACATTGACGAAAATTAAGACATTATCCGTCTGTATCGATAGCCGGTCTCGGGTCTCACGGACATTAGGCGCGATTTCACGTACTTGCGGCGTATTTGCCGCTCGATTGTTACGCGGAGGGCGTTCGGGATTTTCTTCATCCGCACCAGCCTTTCCCTCCTCAGACTGACGATCGTCCTCGGAGTCATCTGCGTCCGTTTGCAGTTCGGATTCATTGACTATGTCTTCGTTGCCGCTACTTTCGTCAATGTCCATGTCAATCTCGCAATAACTGTTTCTATTCTCGCGGTTATTCCGCTCGGTTTCTGTCAGAAGGTCGTCAGACGCTCCTCCGTACGTAGAATCGCCAGAGGATAACAAAGGCATGTTACGCGGACGCGCCCTGGGAGTCGTACGTTCTCGAGGTTCATTCTCGATCGGGTGTATCGCCTGTTCGTCTTCGTCAGAGAGAATTCGCGGTTGAGGCGCTGTCGACGGCCCAGGTTGGCTCGGGTCTTGAATTGCTCGTGCAGCAGGACCTGGAGCTGGTATAGCCCACTGTCGAGGTTTGAATGTAAATCGAACTGGCGGAGTAATTTTTTCGCGGTTTTCGGGTTCCGAATTACTGCTTTGTTCCGGCGTATCATTAAGCGCTCGAGCTTTCCTCCGAAGATTGTAGATGTAGGGCCTCCGAACGCGTTTTCTATTTTATGTAGGGTCTTCTTCGCTCGTTTCTTCCGGCGTAGATATAGTTCCCTTTGCGAATCAGTGCTACCTGTACGGGTTTTTCGGGTTCATCAACTGGATTACGCGATAATGAGACGTCGACATTAGAATTTATTCGGCCCGGTTTATATACGACCTTGTAACTATAGTCCTCCATGCTCAACCGCCACCTAACTATGCGTGAATTCGGTGAATTTACAGAATTTACCTACGTCAACGGTCGATGATCGGTTACTAATGTGAATTGACTTCCGTAGATATACGGTCGAAATTTGTTCACGGCGTATACTATAGCGAGCTTTTTTTTTCAATTGTGGAGTAATTACGTTCGGCCGAATTTAAGGGGTTATATCCACTTGTGATTTTCAAAAAATCGATTTTTTTTTTCATTTTTTGAATGTACATATATTCAAGAATATTCTCTGAAAATTTCAAATCGATCCGGCAATTAGTTTCGGAGGTATGAGCGTATTAGTAAGAACGTCTCCGAGCGTTCGAAAGTAGGCGGAGCACGAGCCGGAGTAGCAGCTGTTTCTTGTAGCTTCTATCCTTTTGTTCTCGACTTATATTGTGTTTGGGACCCTAAAATAATAATACAAAGGTTTAGTTTATACCTGAAACCTATGTTGAGGAATTTTAGGTTAAAAATATGTGAACTCATCAGTTAGAAGTGATCTTCCACGTGGACAAGTTGTGTTTGTACTCAGTTTGTGTATTTCTCAGTGTGTATAGTTCAATTAATTAAAGTAAAAAATGCCTCGTAAAGTTAGAAGAGAAACTCGCAGAATTTCTAAAGAACGTTTGGATCGAGGAAAGAAACGGAAGAACGTTTTTAATCCGAAAACCGTGGAATATGATGAGAGCAGTTTCAGCGCCTCAGCAAAAAAATTTAAAGCGCAAGAGGAAATGTGTGTAACTCGCGATACGTCAGTTGAATATAGAATTTTAAATTTTATAACTGTGTTTACGACTATTAGTGAGTATGTATTGTGTAAAACTTGCGGTGAGCCAGTAAAATTTGAAACAGCATCAGAACATGGACTTGGTTTTAAAATTGTTATCTTATGTGATAAATGTAGTCCTCGTAGTGTAAACTCTTGTAACTTTGTCAAACACTCGTATGAAATAAATCGACGATTTATATTTGTGATGAGAACCCTTGGGTTAGGTTTGAAAGGTGCTACTCAATTTTGTGGGCTAATGGACATGCCAGCTTTTTTGCTCCAAACTTCATATGATATGATCGTTAAAAATATCCACGAATGTGTGTCAGTAGTCACAGATAAACTTTTAAAAAAAGCTTGTGTTGAGGAAATGAATGCAACGTCTGAACAGCAGGGTGATGAACATAAGAGTGATTTAACAGTCTCGGGAGATGGGACTTGGAAAAAAAGGGGATTTACTTCTCTATTTAGAGTTACATTGAAGAAATGGATGCCACGTCTTAACAGCAGGGTGATGAACATAAGAGTGATTTAACAGTCTCGGGAGATGGGACTTGGAAAAAAAAGGGGATTTACTTCTCTATTTGGAGTTACATCTCTAATTGGATACTACAGTGGAAAAATAATTGATCTTTTTGTTAAAAGCTCTTACTGTAAGCAATGCGAGCCTTGGAAATCTCACAAGGATACTGCTGAATATCAGGAATGGTGGACAGAACACAAAGACGTATGCTCAGCTAACCACGATGGGTCATCAGGAAAAATGGAAGTTGATGCTGTTATTACCATGTTCAAACGTTCATTGGAAAAGTATCAAGTTCGTTTTAGAAACTATATCGGTGATGGTGACTCTAAAACTTATTCGGGGATTTTGAAGGCTGCTCCTTATGGTGAGACAGAAGTAACGAAGAAAGAATGTATTGGGCATGTTCAAAAAAGAATGGGCAAACGGCTAAGAGACATAGTAAATAATACAGTAGAAGAAATGAAAGATAAGAATGGAAAAAAAAAAGTTACTTGGTGGCAAAGGTAAATTGACTGGGAAAGTTATTGATAAATTAACTGTTTACTATGGTTTAGCGATTAGGAGACACTGTGATTCTGTTGACAATATGTATAAAGCCATTTGGGCATCTTATTTCCATAACTGCTCTACAGATAAAAACCCTCAGCATGATAATTGTCCTATAGGAGAAAACTCGTGGTGTTCGTGGCAAAAAGCGCGAGCCTTGGGAACTTTGCCCAGCTATAAACATGATTATGAGGCCTTACCACCTGATGTTGCAACAGCTATTTTTCCAATTTACGAAGATCTAAGTAACAAAAAATTATTGGAACGATGTGTTGGTGGTTTTACCCAGAACAATAATGAAAGTTATAATCAGCTGATATGGAAAATAACTCCAAAAATTATTCCAGCTGGCTCTAAAATTGTGGAAATAGCTGCAAACATTGCAGCCGGGATCTTTAATGAAGGTAAAACATCTCTTCTTTATTATATGAGTGCTATGGGATTATCACTTGGACCCAATGCTCATTCCTACGTGAGTAAAGAGGACGCAGAGCGCATCTCAATTTCGGACGCAAGAGCGCAAGGGTCGACGCGCGAGGGGAGAATGGCTCGTAGACAACAACAACTAAACATTTTGGAGGCAAATGACGAAGCAGAGGGTTCCTCTTATGGTGCTGGAATAGATGACACGATGTAAGTTAAAAAAAAAAATTTTTAATTTAGTGTAAATCGTTCCCGAAACTTTAAACGCGCTTATTTCAAAACCGTGTTTTCAGAGTCGGTGGCCAAAATTTCTCCGAAACCGCTAAACCGATCGGTTTGAAATTTTCACACGACTTACTCAGATATATTTTTCATGTAATGATCGAAGGAATAAGGTTTTGGACAATAATTTCGATTTTTTAAGCCCTTTTGAAGTGAAAAATTTTCATGAAAAACAGAATTTTTTTTTTGAACGGCCGCCATTTTGTCAAAAATCGAAATTTTGACTAGACCTTCGATTATTACTTGTATTTATTTATTACAAAACTAAATATTTTTGGTTTTTGGTTTTCAGATAATTTGGACCAGAGATATCTTGGCCACCGCCAAGCACTTTTTTTTGGAGGTCACTCCGCAGATCATCTACAGGAGCTAGGGGATCTAATATTTTTTTAAATAAACCGCTGATTGTTAAAGTACATTAAATTCTGTTTAAGTACATTTTTTCCATTAATGTATAAAATAAAATGCCTCTTTGGAAAAAATTCACAAAAAAACGCGTTTTTTCTGCCTCGCAAGTGGATATAACCCCTTAATAAACGCGAGGCGTAACACACGGGTTTATCTTTATTAATTTGATAATTATTAATAATAATTATTAATCTGAGAACGTAACATAGGTCATTAGCCATTTTTTCACATTTACTTGTCGGGTCTTTATCTAGTTGCAAATATGTGTTTTTATCATTCACCAATTTATACATTTCTTCCAGGTATTCATCTTTTTACATTATCACTGTATTACCACCTTTATCAGACTCTGTTACAATCAGATCCGGGTGTTCTTGCAAGAAATGCTTTGTTGCCCTGAAATCAGTTATGATACCTGTTTTCAATGGTCTATGGTTCTTCCCATAAAAATTTGAGACTAGATATACCGCTTTCGATCTTATATTTGCTTGCTCCTCTTTGACTGTTTTCAAATCCCCACCAGCTATGTCCACAAATATTATGGCATTCTCTAAGTCCTTGATTAATACGTCTACTGGAACTTGTTTCGGTGTTAATAGTATACCAAAACCTGGCTCTAAATATAATATCATATCAATTTCCTTGGGTAGTTGTACGTCCGTGAAATTAAACCCATGGTTGTTCTGTCCTATTTTGGTATCCTCTTGTTTATATCTTAACCCATTACACAATTTTATAAATTTTTCCATATTACTCTTTTTAATCTCCTTAAATTTTTCTTCAAACTTCCTATTATAATAAGTATTACAGTCACTGAAATCCACTAATGAGAGTTTATTTTTACTTGAGTCCCTTAATGACCAGATGTTAGTCTCCAATTTTTTCTCTTTCCAAGTTGTTATTTTAATTTCTACATTAAGTATTTTAATCTTCAGAGAATTCATTAGTTGATCAATTTCTCTCATAAATGGATATTTTTCAGTATGTAGGGAATATAAACATTTTAAATTATTAATAATGTGTTAAGGGTACACTTTCCTATGTCTGCAATTAAGTAGAAATATTAATCTGTTTTTAATTGATGCCAACTTCATACACTCGTTAATCCAATAACGTAAATTATTAAATTAATAAGGATTAAATTAGATTTATTCAAGCCTGCTAAATGCCTAGCAAAAATAAATACAAGTTATTAATGATGGCTATCGCTTTGTTCCACAGTAGGTTCGAAGGACAGAAATAATTACCTTGAGTCTTTAGAATTCCGTGGCTGCTTTGTCGGGTTCCGTCTTCACAATGTCTTCTCTCCGTCCGACAACTTTCTTTTCCCTCGGTGCAGTCTTCTCCACAATCTCGAAGCACTTCCACTCTAGGTCCCAGAACTTATTTTATCGAATTTTCACTGCGCGAGCATCTTAGATCACAGCACCCTGTGATCCGTCGATAATTAACCATAGTCAGGGTAAGGGCCTTCAATAGATAATAAAGGAGCCCCGTGACAGTTTGTACTTGTTTTTTACGAATTTTCTTAAAATGAGTAGCCAAATTTCTTTTCTATATCTCATGTGTTTAGAAAATGCAATGCTTTTGATCTGTTACATTTTCGCGATCCCGTAATAAGAACAATTTATCGGTTATGTGATCAGCAAAAATAAAATGTATGTAAAATTCTTAGTCCGTTGACTAAATAGCTACATGTGATATTAAATTTTGGAAACGTTACAATGACTTTCTTGCCGCTGCCAAAGAGACGAGATTGTTGCAAGGAAATATCACTATTAAAAAAGAAAAATATTCAAATCCGTTGACCTTGGAGGCCATCCCGGTATTTGCCTGTTTCACTTGAGATTATCTCAAATTTTATATTTGTAGGAACTGTATTTGAAGAATATGAATATTTGACAATTATCACTCCCGCACTCCTATGTGGAGGAGGAATTTCATAAGATCCTATTCGAGATGATTTCTACATTATAAATAAAAGATTCCAACAAAACTTCGAGTCCATAAAAACTATCGATTGAAAATGAGAAATTTTCATTGTTAACGCCCCCACAATCCCTTTTGGGGTTAGAATTGGAGGAAATCCATTCTCAGCTGAACTTGACATTATCTACAAAGATTCCGACTAAATTTGAAATCAGTAGAAGTTACAGTTTGGAAATTAAAAGTTTAGATTTTAACACCCACCTCCGCAATCTCTATCGGAAGTAGAATTTTTTGGAATCCATTTTGAAGTGATCTTTACATGAGAAATAAAAGATTCCTACCAAATTTAGAGTTTTTAGAAGCTATATTTTCGAAATTAAGATTTTTATTGTTACCATCCACGCCTACGATCATTATTGGAGTTAATTCGTTGCAAAATCTATTCTTAGATCATTTCTATATCACATATAGAAGACTTCTACTAATTGTGGAGTTTATAGGAGCTATAGCTTGAAAATTAAAAGTTTTAATTGATAACATCCACCCCCGCAAACTCCTGTGAGGTATCAAAATTCGTTCGTATATTACTTCTACATGTCTTAGAGAAAATTCCTACCCAATTGGAGTCTGTCGGAGCTATAGCTTGGAAATTAGAAAAATTTTCATTGTTGATACCCACCCCGCAACCCCCTGTGGGGTGAGATATCGTAAAATTCGTTTCTAAATTATTACATCACTTACAAAAAATTCATACAAAATTAGGAGTCTGTAGGAGCTATAGCTCGGAAATTTTTAATTTTCATTGTCGACACCCACCTCCGCAATCCATATTGGGAGTAGATTGTCATAAAACCCGCTCTTGGATCATTTCTACATCCCATAGAGGAGATTCCTACCAAATTTGTAGTCGATAGAAGCTATAGTTTAAAAATGGAAATTTCCCATCGTCAACGCCCCCGCAACCCCCCTTGTGGGTAGAATTTCGTAAAATCCGTTCTAAGCTGACCTCTACTCGGCGAAAGGAATATTCCTACCAAATTTCAAGTCTCTACGTCTTATGGTTCCAGAGATATCGTGATGAGTCAATATATAGGTGGAAATCTCTTATATAGTAGATAATCAGGGAGGGTTATACCCCACGATTATGCAGGAATCTGCAATACTGACATGGTTCGTGTCCGTGCTTAGTTGTAGATATGGTTCGTGTCCGTGCTAAGTTGCCAATATGGTTCGTGTCTGTGCTAAGTTGCCGATATGGTTCGTGTCCGTACTAAGTTGCCGATATGGTTCATGTCTGTGCTAAATTGCCAGTATGGTTCGTGCCTGTGCTACCACTGATAGAGTAAGAATCTACTTTATCGATATATTGGCCATATTTACAACCCTTCTTCGGTCATATGCCCCACTACTCTCTTTTGAGCATATCTAGAGCATTTTTTACCCTCTCTTATCTATATAGAGAGCACCCTTATACTTTATTTTGACAATATCTAAAGCGTTTTCTCACCCCTTCCACTAGCCTATGATTGTTTAATCAAATCTAAGCTCAACCTCTATTGCTGACGATATTTATATTTGAATTTCGAATCCGCTATCTGGTGGCTGCTATCTGCTATTTGAATTATGAATCTGCCGTTTTGATTTGTGAATCCACCATTTTGAATTTGAGTTCCCCATTTTGAGTCTCAAATCCGCCATATTTTCCGCCGTTTTTAAATTCCACTATTCGCCATTTTTAAATCCCACTATCCACCATTTTGAATTGTGAATCTGCTATCTGGTGGCTGCTCTGACGCAATCTTCTAAGAATCTGACACAATTTCCCCGTCTACACTGTGCTTTCGTGGTGAGGATTGATCCTTAATCTACTCGGTGAGATCATCGTTCAGTTTCTGTTCTTGAATTTGAGCAGTTAAAGTCGAGAAGATGGAGATTTTCATTGGTTTTGAAGGCTTCTACATGCTTGATGGATCTTTTATTGTCAAAGAGCTTGCGGTTATCTCGCTAAGTGATGAAGTGGATTTTTTGAGTTCTGCTGCGCTAGCAACTTTTGAACCACCAGTAGAATACACCAATGAATTCATGGTCTAGGAGACCAAAGATTTTTGGTAGAGAAAGCATGGTATTAAATGGGATGAAGGATCATTCTCCTATACTGAACTCGAAGAAGTGCTACGAGAGACTCGCAAGTACTAAACATACATTTATGTTTTGAGTGAGGGAAAAAAACTTTGGCTTGAAAAAGTAATTAATTTTTTATCCGAAATGATTGATCTATCAAAGATGAGATTTATCAACCATTGTACGATAATTTGCTACTGAAAATGATAAAAGATACTGGGACTTTGGGTAGTTTCGGTTTGTTCAATTTAGTTAACACTTTCGTTTTAATTATTAAGTTTATTAATAAATATGTATATCACTAAATTAAATATCATATAAAAATTTATCACAGTTCAATATATATTTTCCTTTTGTGGCTAGACTCACAATTAATTAACACAAAAGCGATAGATAACTAAGAACAACTTGGTTAAGCACATGCAAGCCATGCGGTCGAGAGGCCCAGACTTCCAAGCAGCTGTAAACAAGTCTAAAAGCACAGAAAGTTGAAACTGATTACTGCAGAATAATTGTGAATAATTACTGAAACAGATTGAGTTATTATTAAACAGATTTAGATCACGATAAATTGATGAAAATTAGATTAGATTCGATAGATAAAAGTATGCGATAAGTAGGTTATAGTGTATATAAAAATAAGAGCGAATAATGATAATAATGCGCGCCAATTCTCGGCCAGAGGGCACCTGTTGCTCTGCTGGAGCGCCTGACCTGCCTCCAAGTGGCGGGGCAAGTAAACTCAAGCGGTTTTGTTGGTAATATCGGCTAGGAGGAAGCGAGGGAGATTTTAACAACCATCTTGAAGACTTTGATCCTATCCAACCGTGTTTCCTGAAGAAAAATCACTTAAGGAAACGCAATTACGCTTGAGCGTATGAAACGGTGCAAAGAATGAAACGTTGGTTTCTCAGCTGTTGGGGTTTGAATCCATCGCTGGAAAAGTCATTACAGCTTTTTTATCAGCTCCAGTTTTTAGTCAAGATGGATCCACAAGACATTGCCTGTTTGGATGAATCTTTCATACTTCAATTCACAAAACATGAAATTAATGTCATATAGTCAAAGCTCCCTGAGCGTATGAGGATGGATTCGAGATTTATCAATTATACAAGATGTACAGAGCATTATAGGACTATGTATAATTATGTTCTTGAAAACCCTTATCCATTGAAGAAGGACTGCTATGAATGTAAATAGATTTTTTTATCAGCTAATGTATCTTAGAATAATTATTTTAATAAGATTTCATAAATAAACAATCATTAAATTATAAAGTGTTTTTGTATTAATTTTTAACTTCCCGCTAAGAAAATCGAAGATTTTCAAAAATCGGGAAGTTATTGTTTTTACCCCGTTTTGCAAAAATCAAGTTTTCATCAGATCTCGACGATTGAAGGTCACAGGAAGCTTCCCTGACTATCGCCGCGAGGTTGTCACTTTGTCTGTATGTATGTGTGCATATGTATGTGTGTGTGTGTGTGTGTGTGTGTGGTTTTTTTCCCTTTACGGGGGGGGGGGAATCCTTTTTACGGATTCTAGGCATAGATGTTGGCCCGGATATGTGGCGACTCGACGCAGCGTTGTACTAAAACTTGACGCTGACGCCCTTACCCACTAAACCCTAAACCCCTTTCTCTTCTATCCTCTGATCCCCCATGGTACCGCCGTAAGGCATTTCTTCGCGGGGGGAGGAATTAGCTGCCGCTCTTCCTTCTGGTGGCTAAGATGTTATCTTCCTTCTAGTTTCTGTCTTTTGCTCGTTTTCTCTCGATGGAACGCAGCTCTGTAAGCACTTCTGTAGCAAAAGTGTTCGTTGCATTCCAGGCAGCTTCTGAAGACAGCATCTTTCCCGCTTCACAGCATTATTTATATTTGTTAAAAATGTGGAACGCTTCACGATTTTGCGTGTCATCCTTGCGCAGGGGCAAGGATAACAAATATAAATAATGCTGTGAAGCGGGAAAGAATAGAAGTTACGGATAATTATTACGTGAAGCGTAAT